ATGGAGTTCTAGGCTCCTGACTTCAGCAAGACCCAGCCCCAGTCATTGCAGCCAACTGGGGAATAATCAGTAGATGGAAGATTCTCTCTCTCTCTCTCTCTCTCTCTCTCTCTCTCTCTCTCTCTCCATTTCTCCCTCTAACTCAGCCTTTCAAATAAATAAATAAAATCTTCTTAAAAAAATGAAAATTTTGTTTGAATAACCACAGACTTGCAGTAAGTGAGTGACATTTAGCCCCCAAAGAGCCACAGTTGGTTTTACCACAGAGTGAGGGAACAGAGACCAGACCATGACGTTAACTGAAACCAACTGGAAATCATTCCTGCAGCTGGCCAGACGCCACTGGTTATCCTGGAAGGGACATCATCAACACTGGCATTTGAAGGTCTGCTCACAGGAAGTCAGGCCCAGCTCAGGGAAGCAGGTCTGGGCTGCAGGCCATGTAAATCCCCAGGGCTAAGGCAGGGGTGGGTCCAAAGCTCCCCTCCACCAGCAGCCAGAGCGGAAGCAGGAGGTACACTCGGGTCCTGACCACTGCAGAAGCTTGATGGCAGGCTTGGTTTGGAGAGGACACAGGCATTGGTGGCATCTGCACCATCACACTTGGTGACATTATCGTGTCTTCTTATGGAGCCAAGGACAGGGTGACGCACACTCCACAGGCCTGTAGCATGGAAACCAGTGGACCAGGTTAGGTTTCGGTTTCTGTGAGTGGAGTATCATCTCAATGGACGCATCGTTCTCTATTACAGACTAATAGAATTAGTTACAGAATACCTTCAGATCACTTGGCATGTCCTTAAAGGGAGGCGCTGTGCACACAGGCACTAGGAAAACTCTCGGGAAGTACTTCAGGTTAAGTGTTAGCAAAGGAAGTGCTGGATTTAAGTATCGTGACTCCTGGATCTCACCGAGAGAGCGCTTTAGTTGCTGTATTCCATATTTAAACGTAGGCTGCAAACCGAGAAACAGTTTTTACAACTCTAAATACACTTTCTACTACAGAGAATGGTGACTGAAGCAAAAGTAAAAATAGCTACTTGCATCACGGTTTGAGAAAATCTAAATCTGAAAATGATCATTTTTAGTTGCACACTACCAAATAAGGACATTGGGGAGGCCATGAGTTACCAGAATCCTAGCTTTTGCCAGATTCTAACAGGATGTGAGGGCACCCTTGCAGATGAGACTCAGATAGTCTCAAATTCACAGTCAGCTTTCCCCTGGCTGGGCAGCTTTAAGTTCCTACCTGAAAAATGGGCCGAATCACAACATCACAGAACTGTTACAGCACTGGCCCCAATTCATGCCTCCACTACTTTCAAACTTTCCGATTCATGGGCATAATTGCTCACCTCTGAGCAGTAGCCTAGGCTTTCCAAAGCCTCACACATACATTATTTCCTTTGATCTCACAGAATCCTCCAGGGAAGGCGTTTGTGTGTGCTTGTCACCTTAGAGAGCCATTGAACTGTGGGTCTTCTCGCAGACAGGATGAATCAGAGCCTGGGAGGGGAAGAAAGGACCAAACAAAGGAAAACTGCAAGATTTTGAGATCTAAGCTCCCTGTGAACACTTCGCATGGCCCCCTGCACAACTGCTCTTAAAGTGCCAAAACCCAACAGACAGGTTTTACACGGCTCACAATCCAAGTGTGTTTTCTTCTCCTCTTTGCTTTGAGGAGCCAGTTTAAAGGGAGTTTGGGAGTGTTCTGGCCTTTTGTTTTGAAATCTCCTCTGCTTGTTGTCTAGTTGTCTGCAGACTGGGAGATTGGTCTATTTGCTTTCAACAGACTGAACAACTTTTAAAACAAGCAGGCTGCTATGACAGGTTGACTTCTTTGGGATGTGCAAAGATATTTACTGAGCTTCTCTTCTAAGACTCGAAAATTCTGTCTCCGTGTGACACAGGGAGAGAGTGTAGCGTGCAGTGCCGTCTCTGGTAGCATGCTTTGGAAGGTGGCGTGAGAAAAACGTTTCTGTTCTACCGCACAATCAGCTGTCTGCCTCTCCTCCAAGGATTTCTCGGGAGACTTAGAAGGAATGCTATCAGTCAATTCCCAAGGGCAAACCACCTTTGCCAAGAGACCACTGGGCATGGCTTCCAAAGATGGAAGACACTCACTCCTTCTTCTGCCTCCCGTGGCCAGGTTAACTGGGGTCAGAGGGGAGCACGTGCCCTCCATCCCGGGAAGAACGCTTTTGGGATAGTTGTGGATCATTGCAATAGTTTTCTCAGGTGAACTCATCCTAGCAAGATAATGAGACAAATGAGTGAGGAGGACATCCACGTGGCTGTGTCCTTGGCTGCAGAGTTGAGATGGGGTGGAAAGTGGAGTGACCCCCATTCCCAGCCAGCCAGGAAGCTCCTGCCTCCGTCTCCTGTCCATCTTCACACAAGGCAACCCTCCCCGTGTGTGGAGCTATGCCCTGCCAGGAAAGGCCATGGCCGTGAGCTAGCCAGGGAGTGCTGGGCGTCAGGCCATCCACAGCAGGGTCTAGGGCCCAGGGATTAGGACACAAGAGTTCCTACCTCTTTCATCTGTGAAACACTGTGGGCTTGGAGTAAGCGTCCTCCAAGGTCCCTAACAGCTTCTCAAAATTAGGATCCTTTTAATGCAGAATGTAGGGAGGTGGGGAAGCAAAATGCGATTATCCCCCGGTTAGCTGTGGAAGACCAGACCTTGGGGATGGCACGGAAAATAATCCGCAAGGAACGCTTGCTTTCGGCGGGCTGGGGAAGCCGGCAGAGAGGCAGACTTGTGCACAACGTGAGTGCAGACGGACGAGGCGGTGTAAAATGGGGCACACACAAGACAGCTCGCAGGCTGCCAAAGCAACGCCGTGCCCTCTTCCGCGCCACCATCTCTCTCTGTGATAACGCAGCACCTCGTGCGCACAATTAAATGTCAGCCGCAGAAAACATTTCCTTTGGCTTTGTTGTTCCAGAACGGGATTCTTTTGTCCTCAATATAATGGATATGCAGAAACAATGATAGAACAGGGATTTTTTTTTTTTCTAAAGCGATGACAAACACACTGCTGCTTCCTCCCTTCCTCTCTCCCTCCTCCTTATCCCCACCCCCTAAAATAAATCATTGTTCAAAAAAAAAAAAAAAAAAAAAAAAAAAACCAACCATTGTCTATTGTCCGCGGAGACAGGCTCTGCCCGGGAACAGCTCCGGGGGCGCCGCAGCGGCCGCCCGCAGCCGGTAGGTGGCGCACGAAGGCAGCTCAGGCGGGAGCGCAGGCCGCCCCCGCACCGCCTCCCGCCTCCTCCGCGCGCGCTAATTGCTGGGTGCTCCGCGGGGACTTCGGGCACCGGGGAAGAAAGCGGGCAAGGGCGGTGAGGGAGCTAAGTCCCACCACACAAAGCCAGCCCCGCGTTCCCGCCCCGCTTCTCCCTTCTCGGCCCCGGCGCCCCGGATTGCCCATGACAGACTCCAGGCGTTGGAGAGCCCAGGCCCGCGCCACATTCGTGTCTTGCCCACAGGCCAGCTCCCGAGTGGGCCAAGCTCCAGACCTCGAGGCTCCCCGAGCTGGGGCCAGGGCCTGGCGGGCGTCACCTGCGCGCGAGCCCCCCTATGGGAAGGAGGCTGCGCCGTCGTCCATGTGGGCCTGTGCGGGCCTCGGGCTCCTACCACCCCCAGCACTGTCTGTTAAGAGGCAGCTGGCCCTCACGTCAGAGGCCCGGGTTGGCGGGCTGAGGCTTGGTGACCTTGAGGGTGTTTCTAAACCCCTCCAGCTCGCGGCTGGCCAAGGCGGGCAGTAGTGCTTACCTCCTCAGAAGGCTGTGAGGATTTTTCCTAAGTGGTGCTTAACTTAGCAGGAGACCCGGCGTAGAGTAACTATTATTATTAACAACCCAGCTCTCCTTGGAGGAGGAGAGGGGTGGCAATTTGCAGCCCAGGCGACACATCTGGCATCCCTGTCGCCTAGAGCAGGAAAGAAGGGCCAGGGGATGGTCGCCAGAACGGTGGCTCCGAACTGGAGACCCCAGCTGTCCCCCTGTGACCCCTGTCCAGTCCCCTGCCTCCTGCCAGGGGCCGCGTGAGGCCCTCCTCCTCCCCTCTCTGCACACACCGTCGGGAGGTTGTTGCCGCTTCTCCACCCGAGAACCCTCCCTGAGAGAGCACCCAGCGGGTCCCCCTGCCCCCGGCTCCCACATTCTCTCCGTAGGAAGTGGGTGAGCCCCCGGCCTCCCTAGCCATCGATCAGTTCACTCTGTAGAGCGGGGCGGGGGCACGTGAGACCCGCTTCACCGGTTCCTGGGAGAGACTTTTGGAGGGGCCGGGTATAAACTGCTTGGCAGAGACTTACTCTTTCAGTAAATGTATACATTTAAATTATACAGGTGAAATGAGGTTATCTCCCGGAACATATTGGATGTTCCGTAGAATTTCCGCTGACACCTCGCAAAGGTGAACCCAGCGACTGTTAACAATTAGCCTCCAGGAAAAGCACAGGAGTCCAGCGAGGCCACCTGCTCCCAGGAGCCTCCCAGGTGTAACTCAGACACAGGCATAGGTTGGCTAACTCTCTTGCCCCAGCCGATGCCCATTTTAGAGCAGCCTTCCACCTGGAAGGTTCTCTCAGGGTAGACGTGGCTTTAAAGTTGCAGTGGAAGCCATGGTGTGTGCCTGGCTAACCAGTGGTTCTTAAGTGCTCCCCACGTGTACACTGCTATCCTCCTGGGCAGAGGTGTGGCCCCTGGGGCATAGCACTGAGACAGGTAGGGGGTCAGGAGCCACCCACCATTCTCTAGAAGGGTACTCAGTCGTTTCCATAAGCATCAGATCTGTGCGGCTCCTGGGAGTTCAGGCACTGGGCCACAGCAGGGCCAGCAGGCAGCTGTAGTTAGCCAGCCTCCAAGAGGCTCCCTGAGTCCCTTGGCTCCTGGGTACCACATCAAGAGAACCCTCAAGCAGCTCTGGGGAGAGTTCCATGAACACAGAACCTAGGCTTCCTGCCTTCCTTGGGCCATCCAGCAAGCAGACCCTGCAATGCCAGTCCAGCCGTCAGCTGCTGCAGCCCTGGATAAGATCTCGGACTCTGGAGAAACTCCAGGTCAAAATCATGCAGCGAAGCCGTCTCTCGATTCTTGACCCCCAGAAAACCCGTGTGACATTCAAAGCATACAAACCATTTCCGTCTCTTTGAGATATAGATGGTGTGCAGATGGCTGATACTGCAACACTCAGAGGAGCCGCGAAGTTTCCATCAACCACAGTGTGGCTGACAGCGTCCTGCCCCCTCACCTGGTCAGCTCTGTTGCTTCCATACACGTCCACGATCTTGCACCTCACCTGAAGACCCCACCTGCAACAGATCTAGGGGGAAACATTCAGCCAGCATCGCCCAGCAGCACTGACTTAATAAAAACCCTAACCTTTGTTTTCAAAAAGGGCTGAGGGAGCAGGTGTTCTGCCTAGAAGTTGAGACACCTGCCTTTGGAGAGTGAACTGGTACCTTGGAGTGCTCGCTCTTACCTCTTGCTCTCACTCTCAAATCATTTTTTTTTAAATTAAAGGAGGTTCATTGTAGGGCCCTGCCTCCCTCCCCACACCTCCTCCAGAGACAGTGCTGGCACTTGGCCCAGGTATAAAATGGACAGTGCATTTTGATGAGTGTGTCTGCTGTGATGGGCTGGTTTCAGCTGTCATGGCAGCTGTGTCAGATCTCTTAGCCTCGAGGTTAGAAGCCTGTTGCTAAAAACTCCAGTAGGTAGGTGGTGGAAACAGGTTATGGTGACCTGAAGGGACAGAGCCAGGTGGGTTGGTGGAAGTGGATTTGGTGGCCGGAAGGGACAGAGCCAGGCTAGCCATGGGTCAGGTATGAATGACAAATTGGTCAGCTCCCTTTGCTTCTTCCTGAAGCTTCTTTCCCTGGTCAGTCTCGGGACAGCTTACCTGTGAGCAGAAGTGTGTGGCTGAGTCCACGGCCCTAGAAGTGACTAACTCGTCTGCGCCAACTCTCTTCCTTGGAGGACTCACAAGTTTTCACTGATGGGCGCACTTAAGATCATGTGTTTAATCCAAGTACAGTGACTCAAAATGAATTAGTATTTAACAGTATTGGAATTTTGTGTTTTCATAGAATAGCTGCCAATGAGTGTAGTCAACTCATATTGGTAAGTGTAAACAAATCTACGGTAACTGAATGAGTGTTTATAGCATTGAGCTAGAGGTCCAGGGCTTGCTGCTTACTGTAGACCCTAGGATATACTCTATCCCCACCATTATAACCCCACCAGGTTATAATGGAGTTGGCTTAGCAGGCAATCTCAACCCCTTGAAAAGCATCCCAATCCTCTGAAATCCATTTCTTATTTTTGATGTGATACTAAGTTTCAGCTTTTTATTTTTTTCAGAAAGTTTTATTTCTGCTGTATTTTTAGACTCAAAAGTATTTATTTAAGGTGAACAAATGATACAGCATACACAACTGCTAGGACTGCTTTTTAATTGAGAACAAAAAGGAAATACCTAGGACAAGAATATGCAATTACCACATTTATTGTTTTCCGCGCAGTTTTGTCAAGTTTGTTTATCTTATTGTTAATGTGATGATACAGCAATCCTCGGGAAAGAATAACACTGTGTTAAAGAACAAATCTAGATAAAAATGGAAAATGGCGCTAGCCACAACCCACAAGGCCTTCTGTGGGACAAACTCTTGAGGAAAAACCGACTCACACACACTTCACGAGAGAATAAAGCACTGTCATTTTCCCTTTATAAAGTGCCAGAGTGTTCCTGAACAAAGGCCTCAAGGCATTATCAGCTCGTCATCTGTTTTTTGATGTGATTTCTATTTTCAGGACCCTGCTTTCCTCCCGTATTGTCTCTGATGCATCTGGTCCATGGGTGCCTTCTACTTTGGTCTATCTTGTTCACTGTTGCCCGTCTCTACCTGGAGAGATCCCTGTGCTGACCACTGCTCAGACCGGCAGGGACATTGTCCACCCACAGGGCCAGCAGAAATTCTCAAGGATCTGCGCACTCTAGATAAACAAGCTAAAGGTGTATGGAATCTGCAGAGTGATAAGACCATCCCAGGTGATCCAGAAAGGAATGGCTAGACAGCATATGTCCAAGTCTTGGGTATTGTTTAAAGAGCAAAGAAAACAAAAAACAACTTTGGCTGAGATTTCTGATGGCACAGTACACACGTCCTAATGTGACCTAATCAAAAGTAGCTATACAGTGCTTAAAAATTTGCGTAGCTCAATGAGCAACCTTACAAAGTAGAGAAAAGGAGAAACTGAGGGTATTTATTCTTTATTGAAAAAGGAGTAGGTTGTCTCTAAACATTCCACACAACCATCAAATCCTGAAGCTTTGGATGCTATACATGAATCTACTCTAATTTTAATATTCATTCAGCTAGACATTAAACAATTATTTAAGTACCAATTATGCACTAAGCACAAATTCATACTAATGACAAAAACAGACATGGATTACTTTTTACGGTATATAGACCATCATCCCACAAACAAGTGTGCATTCTTACAAACTGCATATGTTTGGGGAGAAAACCAAACAGATTCAGAGATAGAGAATATCATAGTGCTATTCTATAATAGAGGGGTCAGAAATGGTGTCTCTGAGCAGAAAACATTTATATCAAGATATGAACCTTTTTTTTAAATCTATGCAATATGTATGAGGGTGGGGTATAGATGGCATAGGCTAAGGCCCTGTGTAGGGAAAAGTGTGCTTTGTTTCAAGGGTAGAACACTAAACATTCCAGATTCTGCAGACTAGAGAACATGCTAGAATGAAAGCCAATCAGGGTTTGTTTGGGTCATCTAGTCTGGCCACCCAACCAGTTTTTAAATCCCTTTCATATTACTCTCTCTGAATAGCCAACCAGCTTGAGGCTGGGTCTTTCCACAGGGAGGAACGCACCACCTCTTGAAGCACCCATGGAAACATGGTCTCAACATATGAATTTGCTCCAGCTGAAGAAACTGGAGCCAGATCATGACTTACAGTCACAGCCCTGCACCTGAGGAAATTTCCAGGTTGAAACAGAAGAAGCTACTTGGTTCGCTGTGTTTATCATTCCTTATTCCATGAAGTGTCAAGGACAGACAGCAAGATATCAGGTTCGTCATTCTTTCTGAAAGACAAGCAGTAGGAATAAGATAGCTCTCAAAACCTTCCCCACTTTCCGCTTTTTTAAATTTTTATTTATTTATTTTTTGACAGGCAGAGTTAGACAGTGAGAGAGAGAAACAGAGAGAAAGGTCTTCCTTTTTCCGTTGGTTCACCCCCCAAGTGGCTGCTACGGCTGGCGTGTTGCGGCCGGCGCGCTGCACTGATCCGAAGCCAGGAGCCAGGTGCTTCCTCCTGGTCTCCCATGTGGGTGCAGGGCCCAAGGACCTGGGCCATCCTCCACTGCATTCCTGGACCACAGCAGAGAGCTGGACTGGAAGAGGAGCAACTGGGACAGAATCCGGTGCCCCAACCAGGACTAGAACCCGGGGTGTCGGTGCCGCAGGCGGAGGATTAGCCTAGTGAGCCGCAGCGCCGGCCCCCCACTTTCCTATGTAGCAAAATACAGCTCTGCTCCCTGGCAGACTAATGATTGCACAATACAGTCAGTTGTACACTTGCGAGACAGCTGTGTGTTCGGGCTGCCGTGGTGAGGTGGGAGTGACTTCCCTGTGGTACTTGTGGTTCCCTGTACAGAGGAAGTGTGCTGTATCTGCTAGGTTTACAAAAGGCTTTGATAATGTGAGTTGGCTCACACATGGCCGGTTGTTAATCCCACTAAAGAAGCTCAATGAGATCCCAAGAAGATTCTGCCAATTTTTTGCTGGTATTCCTCACACCCAGTGCACACCACTGACAGTTTAGGACTAGCTTCAGTACTTATCTGTTCTGGGGTAAAGAAACCTAAGTGTTCAGGTCTTAGGGAGGTATTTTCAACTTCAAAATCCATAGATCATGCTCTTTTAAAGCCATTTATGAATCTTCATAGTGATTGCTGATGCACTGTTCTTGAATCAACTTTCAAAGGATATTGACTCATCTTTAAGATTTCTAATATTGTAAAGGGTGTGAAAAGTCAAAAAGTGGACCAAGATTAAATGCTAACCCACACGATGAAAATTCTATTGGAAGCCAATAAATTTCACCACCACTGAAAAACAAGGAAAAAAAAACTTCATTGAATTTCACTTCTCAGTGGTCATGCTCTAAAAATACCAAAGTGTTGGAAAAATAAAATAATAACAAAAAGAAATCTGGGGCTGGCCAATGGCACGTGTGCCTATGTGGCACCTGCTTCTAGACCAAACGAAATAAAAATCTACAGAGCAGTATCACACACATAGCCAACTTCTTGAGCCAGTCCATGAGGATCACCTATTAGACCTGCTTCACGTTCAAGGATGAGACAGACTCACCAACTTGCCCTGGAACACAAGCAGCCCACAAAGGCTGAAGGGATGTCCCCTGGGCCGGCTAAACACCAACAGGATGGTTTTGGGTGGTTCTGCTTCCAGAAGTTGGCCACAGGACCCTTCTCAAGACTTACTCAAGCACTGCTTATCATGATGCCCGGCTCTCTCAGTCTGGCAGACAGGGCAACGGACAGTGCTGTCCAGCAGCAAAGAGAAGTGGAGCAGATCCTTCTGCTCAGAGGTATTCTAACTACATCTTTCTATGGACATATCGTCTTCGTCTCATTGTCATTCGTATCTACCTGGGGTTGGACAGGAGCCAAGAGAGGATGTAAAGCAAGATTTTGGCAAGATGGTGTGTGACAAAATAGAAAGAGGGAACACCAGGGAGTCTAGGAGAGCCATTCCATTCCCTTCTCTGCCCACTACTCTTGGGCAAGTCATTTAGCCTCGTCTTCAAAAGAGAGATTTGATATCTGACATGATTTCAAAGGCCCCTCCCACCATGAGGTCACTCTGAGGGGAGGACAGGAATGCTACACAAACTCAGGTGATTTTTCAGGTACTATGGGTTGATTTAGCTATGCTTAGTGTCTCCTAAATTTAAAGGTGACTTATGTAAGTGATGGTTTACAAACTAAGGTAAGTGATTAGGCTCAGAGAAAAAGAAATTGAGGCCAAAGAGAAATTAACCTCAGGACAAAGAAAAAGAGCTCTGATGAGAAAGAACCCATGTGCTCTGGGAACAGAGTGCTCCTGTCGAATTCCTCTGCACAGGACCCTGCAAGAGTGGGGTGAGAGTGGAGAGTGCTTGGTTCAGCTGCTGAAGACTCGATACCTAAACCCATAATGTGATTTATTGTCTCCAGCTGAGTACAAAGCCCAAAGGAAATTCTACAAAACAGGTCTTCTAGAGTCTACCCTGAGTGGGAAGAACATAGGACCAGGAGTCAAGAGACCCGAATTCCATGCCCGGATCTCTGGCTAACCAACTGGGTGACCCACACTTAATCTCCCTACCTTCTCTGGGCTGCAGCTTAATCATCTGTGCCATGAATTGGTAGGGCCACAGTTCTGCCAACTTGGAAAATCCGTGATTATGCTTAGAGCCCTGACATTTTAAGGATGCGTTTGCCAGAAGTCTGAAGTGTGAAAAATCACAGCGACTGAACCAGGTAACAATTCCCATGCACAACACACCTGTACACACATTTTCTGTTAATCCTGCTGAGGAGGGAGGCCACATCTCCTGTCTGATGCGACCCCACAGCCCCCATGTGATGTCCCATATGGATCCCACTGTTCAGTGGATTATCCTCGATGTACCTATAGAATTTTCTAGATTTTTTTCAAGAACAAAGCAATTCTTCAACTTCTCAGGTGGGTGGGTGGTAATAGTGGTGGAGTTGGGGTGTATGTGTGTGTGTTAAAGCACATTTCACCTCTGCTTCTATAAATGGTGACGTATAACACACTTTGTTGTCATTTGGGACAAGCTAGGTCATAGCAGGGAAAAATAACAATGACTTTCACAATCAGAAAACAAATCAGTGGCTAAAAACTTTTTTTTAATTAAAAAAAAACCCATCTGGGTTAATTGAGTTTATTGATCTATTTGACTTTAAGTCATCTTTCTCCACCACTTTTGCATTTCTAGGCCCATGATTTTATTTATTTATTTATTTATTTGAAAGGTAGAGTTACAGGGAGGGGGGAGCGAGAGAAATAAAGAAAGAGACAGAACTTCCATCCACTGGCTCACTCCTCAAATGGCTACAATGGCTGGAGCTGGGCCAAACAGAAGCCAGGAGCCTAGAACTCCATCTAGGTCTCACACATGGGTGGCTGGGGCCCAAGCACTTGGACCATCTTCTGCTGCCTTCCCAGGCATATTAGCAGGGAGCTGAATCAGAAGTGGAGCATCTGGGACTTGAAGAGGGATGCTGGTGTCACAGTTGGCTTCAACCTGCTGTACCCATGACACTGGCAACCACAGATTGTTTTGAAACTCATCCCCCTGCTCTGATTCCCGGAGGCTGCTCTGTGATAAATTACTCCCTGTATCCTTCCTGCTTTCTCCCCCATTTCTTTTTTTCTTTATTTTTAATTTTTTTTTATTTGACAGGTAGAGTTACAGACAGTGAGAGAGAGAGAGACAGAGAGAAAGGTCTTCCTTCCGTTGGTTCACCCCCCAAATGGCTGCCACGGCCGGCATTGCACCGATCCAAAGCCAGGAGCCAGGTGCTTCCTTCTGGTCTCCCATGTGGGTGCAGGGGCCCAAGCACTTGGGCCATCCTCCACTGCCTTCCTGGGCCACAGCAGAGAACTGGACTGGAAGAGGGGCAACCAGGACTAGAACTGGCGCCCATATGGGATGCCGGCGCCGCAGGTAGAGGATTAACCAAGTGAGCCACAGCGCCAGCCCCTCAGGGCACTCTCCCCCATTTCTTTTCACATTCCTCTCCATCAGCTAAGTTCTTTTCAAGAACTGGGGTCTGAATCCACTCAACAGCCTATTTGTAGGGCCCAGTGTCTATCAACAGAGAGTACTAGCTGAGTGTGCCCCAGACAGACCCATCCCTTTCTCAGACTGGCAGGGCCCTGAAGCTGTACCAGCTGCACCTCGAGTCCCACTGATGTCCAGATGAAAGTTAAGAGGCTGCAAAGCTTGCTCAGTCCACCCTCCACACTATGGCTGTCCTGTCTTGACCAGCACCCCAGCTATGACCCTGCACAAGAACATGGTCTTCCCTGCACTCAGCTTCCTGGTGACAGCCTGTCCCATTCCACTGACAGGGCAGGTGTTTGTTCTATCATGGGGGCTTTTATGGCTAAATTCATGGCTCATTGATTCAGTTGGCAGGTGCTTTGAGGGAGGAAAGAAATGACATGGCTTACAGTGTAGTTTCCATTTGAAAAACAAGGAAGTGGAAGGCTTTATCCACAGTCATTTTCCTCTAAAAGGAAATGCCCCAATGCTGCTTGCTCCAAGTCTAGCCTTCTGAAATACTGAGGCTAGGGAGGGTGTCTAAGATCATGAAAACTGCTAGTGGTAAGGAAAGGAGCCCAGAGAGAGAAGTTTAATAGCATGGTCAAGGTAAAAGGTTGGAGCTAGAGCTCCAAGACTAAAGCCTGGAGAGACCCATTTCCCACAGTCTCACCTACAGTGCCCCGCCCCTTGCTTGCTCTCTCTTCCTCCCCTTGATCATCTCCAAAAGGAGGTAGACCTAGGAAGTAAGAGTAAACCTCTGGGCTGGCACCGCGGCCAACAGGCTAATCCTCTGCCTGTGGCGCCGGCACACGGGGTTCTAGTCCCGGTCGGGGCGCCGGATTCTGTCCTGGTTGCTCCTCTTCCTGTCCAGCTCTCTGCTATGGCCAGGGAGTGCAGTGGAGGATGGCCCAGTCTTTGGGCCCTGCACCCACATGGGAGACCAGGAGAAGCACCTGGCTCCTAGCTTCGGATCAGCGTGGTGTGCCGGCCGCAGCAGCCATAGGGGGGTGAACCAATGGAAAAGGAAGACCTTTCTCTCTGTCTCTCTCTCTCTCTCACTGTCCACTCTGCCTGTTAAAAAAAAAAAAAAAAAGTAAACCTCTGGAAGAGAAAAAGAATTGTAACAGGTTCTTTTTTTTAAAAAGATTCATTTATTTATTCAAAAGTCAGAGTTACAGGGAGACAGAGAAAGATCTTCCATCCGCTGGTTCATTCCCCAAA